TTAAGAAACTACGAGAATCAGTGAAATATTTCATATACAATTAAACTATTGGAAATAAACATATATAACATTTATTCGAAATTTATGATATATTATTAATCTATTTTGAAGTAATCGATGTCATGAATTTATACTTTAGTAAATATGTGATTATATTTTATTGTTCTTTTCTTTATGTATAAAATTCTTGCCAAATATAATAGCTATAAGTACAGCAAAGCAAGTAATATATTAACACTTTCCATGTCACATGTACCACCCAATGGTTCATGCTAAACTTTCCATTCAGGCTTTGTATACCACCAGTGGTAAACGCTAACATATTTAAAGCGTCAAAACATGAAATGGCTTGAATGAAAAATTGAGCAAAAACTATTTGGCACAGAATATGTTAATATATTTTTTTATTTCCTTTATGTAAACACTACTCAAAAATTAAATTATATTTTATTGCACACATGTATATTTGTTATACTTTCGTATTTTGTTATTTAATTAATATTTTTTTTTTTTTTTTTTGTAAATGAGATCGCTTATTGAAACGATAATAAAAAGCAAATAATATAATGAAAGTAATCTATTAATTATTATTATTATATATTGTAGTGCATATCATTATCATACGTTATTGTTATATTTACATGAACTTAGATAGTTCAATAACTATGAACATCTTTATTGACGAATACAAATATTCTTTTGGTCTTAAAATGTTTTTTCTTCATAATGAAATATTTAATTCCATAATTCTATAAAAATATTAATATTAGATGATCTCGAATATATAGAAAGAAAAAGGATAATTTTAATATAAAAAATTAGATTAATTGCATATAATTGACATAAGTGGTATGACTTTTTTGGTGTATAATATCAAAACATGACATATATATATGAAAACTCTAAGTGGGCATGCAACAATAGGCCATGCGGAAGGCACAATAAAGAGAATGCACAAAAAAACATGTTGCATGCTATTCACTTAGCATTAGACCATGTACCTTTAGACCTCAATACTGTATAGCGTCGAGAAGAACGTAAGTAGGCATTTGTTGAGGGTTGGGTAGAAACGCCGGTGGTATGGCTTCCCCCATCAAACCGTTTGTCTGTCAAACCGTAACCGATATACCGTTTAATGTAATGGTTGCTACATGAACCCACACTCATTTGAGAATATGTAAGGATGTATGGAGGATCCAATTCTAATATAAGGAAAAAAGTATTATAGAACTGCCTAATATAATTTACTTACAGGCATAGGTGTATACTGGTACTGTTGAGGCATGTATAAAGATGGTCCTGGACATGGATACATAACTGGGGCAAAAGTTTGATGACCAGTAGCAGCTTGAGGACCTACCATTAAACATAATTATGAAATTCTGAATAATATCTATTATTCTCTATAATGGTAATATATATATATATATATGTATCTTTTGGTTATAAAATTATACAGAAAATATTTACCAAAAACACCTGTAGCTTGGTAAATGGTTGCAGGATCTGCTGGTGGTGCTATAGGAGTTCCTGGTGCAGGTGCTGCTGCGTTGTAGAATGTCATACCATTCTGGTATGTAAGACCCATACCTACACAAACAATTGAATTTAAAAGTAGTCATATTTTCATTAGTACATTATATACAGATATATTTTTATAAATACAATAGAAAATAGATAACAATGCCACCACGATCAAATTATAAAAAAATATATACTATGTAAGTAAATGTATATATGTATATTATCAAAATATTAATATTGAAAATTTGTAATATAAGTACATTTTGATAATTTTCATTAGCAAAAAAAAGAAACTAACCATTCGCATAATAATAAGTACTACTAGGCACAGAAGGTGGCGAGCCAGAACCACCATCGAACGATCTGTTGAAGGGTTGTTTCTTAATTGCAGGAGCTATATTAAGTTTTCTCTCTCTTAAGATAATACTTTCAGGCTGCAAAAATATAAATTTAATTTCTATATTCAAATTTTAATAAATATTAAAGAACATACACATATAGAAGTTATTTAATAATGCAAATAGGTGTAAATAATGGTATTGCAAACCTCTTGTTGGAGCCGCTTGGCTTCTTCTTCGGTTTCAAAAGTAACAAAACCGTAACCTTTGGACACTCCAGCACGATCAGCTATTATTTTTGTAGCTTTTACAGTACCATATTGAGAAAAAAGTTCTGCAAGTTCTGCCTCACTAGTACTTGCTGAGATTCCTCCAACAAATATACGATTAGGTACCAATGTACCATACTTTGGTGCTGCCATGGTTAAACTTGTGGCTGATGCAGGGCTAGAAGATGGGCTGGACCCCTCTGTACCGCCCGTTGATGCCGAACTCTAAACAAGATAACAAGGGTATAGTAACATTATTTTATTTACAAGATTTTATTAAATAAGTATTGTCAATTAAAAGGAATTATTTACACAAATGTGATTGCAAGCAGTAATGATTAAGTTTAGAATTAAAACACATACAGACTACATCTAATGTATGGCTATTCAATGAGAGAAAGAGTGAGGAGGAAAAGAGAGAAAGAAAGCGAAATATCAAATGAAATTATATGCATAAGATATAAAAAATAAAAAGACAAGAAATAAAAAGAAGATAAACAATTATACAAATTCTATTACTCCAGTTGAAAACAAAAGAATATTACTTTGGTACAAAACTTGTGACAATAATGTTGATACAAAGAAAGGCGAAAAAGAAAGAAAGTGAAACAAAATATTAGGAAAAATCACGAATAATTCTGTCGGACGGATATTCAGCAGTTTACGACTACCTTCAAACACGTGCATGTGACCTGACCGTCTCAAGCAGCCGCTTTAACGACTCCGCTTGGATCGTAACGATGACGAAGTGCGAACTAGGAAAGAAAAACAAAAGACGCATATAATCCCGGTACGACTTGGAAGGTTCCTTTCTGTGGTCGAGAGGCAGGTTATGCGTCGATGTCAGGTCGTCGTTGCGTCGCGTTATCGTTGACGATGAGGCGAGCTGGTGAACGATATTCACGACCAAAACCAGCTGTCAATCGAACGCGAGTTGTCGGCGAAAGAACTGCCTAAAAATATTGATAAGCGAGAGAAGACGTCGCTCCGTACGGAACGTAGGACGAATTGCCACCTGTACGGGGGTGGTAATTAAAACGCGCGTAAAAAAGAGGGGGAGGTGAGGCCTAAATCTAAGGAAGGCTTGCCGAGACGCATATCCTCTTCTATTTCGAAACCGAAAGGAAAAAATAGTAGAAGTGCAGAAAAGCGCGAAAGTTGATACAATTCTTTAAAGGGATGTTGTAAAAATGTCTTCATTTTAAAGTAACTCACCATCTTCGCGAGAGTCGGGCGTGTAAAGCGTGTCCACTGGCCTTGATAATTTTCGTCGTAACAACTTTTGAATACCCTGGCCTCGCTCGAGGGTCACCTGGGTGCCCAGGGACTGCCAAGGAGCGTTGCGATCGCTTTGAAAGAACTTCCAGCCTCCGGCGAAGCTGCTGTTCCTTCTCGTTGAACTTCCAAACACTACAGAGACACTTTTACAAGATGGCAGCCATACTAGCCGCGAAGCGCGCCAATTCGTCTGTATTTCAATTTTTTTTCCTAATACTACGTCTAATGTTTTTAATGTTATTTCTATCAAAATTTTTGGCTTTTCCTATCCCTACTTCCTCTTTCCTTGCTTCTCTTCCCTCAATTTACTGTTTCGTTTTTTTTCTTTTTATTCATTCTACCCATTTTATTAGAGGAAAACCAAAACTTCCAAGAACTTTTATTTCCGATGTTTTCTATTCGATGAATGAACTATAGATTTATTACAAATTTGGTCAATGTAATATATATTATTATATAATATATTATGTATATATATACACGTATATTATATATATATATATATATATATATATATATATATATATATATACAAATTCTTATATTAGTAAATATCTATATCAGATCTATTAAATTGATAGTCTTTAGGTCTTTCATACATATATTATCTTATTGAAAAAAAAAAAAAATAGATAGAATGTTTGTTTATTTAGTATATAGAAATATTTTGGAGATATTCATTCATCGTATAAGCATGGCATCAAAAAATATTATTTATTCATAGATAAACAGTTAGAAAACTTGTTATAAATTATTGCATATTAAAATAATTTAATTTATGTTAATAAAAAAATTCTTTTTTATTTGTTGGGAAGAAAGGAAATACCATTTAATACACTTGTTGTTACATACAGAGTCAAATAGAAGGAAAAATCTAGATATCCATTTAGCATCATTCCACCATAAAAACAATCGATTACTTTTGGACATATATACTAATAAATACTTAATTGAATTCTTACCTAATTTGTTATAAACACTCCAGACTGGTTTTCCTCGAATATCAACATGATGGCAGATCAAATACTTTCTAATCAACAAGGGAATAAAAACACTGAAATTGAAACGAGAAACGAGAACGGAGGAAAAAACTAAAATATACCTCCTCACTGCATGGTTGAACTTTGAAGACTGAAACATTCGCCGCCTTACTGCGTTATCAAATAATTGTACTTCCTTTAATAAAAATTCCTTATTTGTTTGCCTATAAAATTAAAAAAAATCATTTAAATTAATTAATTTTAAAATTAAATAAGATTGCATATAATAAAATTAATTATAATAAAGAAATAATCTTAATAATACGATCAAAATTTTTCTTTGTAAATTTGTTTTGATCATAGTTGTACCAGAGACGCTGAAGCTTACATGTTTGCTTTAAAACAAATGACTCGTATCGATAGCAACGAACATTTTATATGACACATAATATACCTACATTACATATATATATAATATGTATATATGTACATATACATATACATCGTTTATTACTCAATTATATATATATATATGGATATACTTACAAAAACAAAAGATAAATATATAAACAAATAGTTGCATCACGCTTAAGAAAATAGTTAAAATTTTGTTCAATAAATATTAAGTTTATTAGATATAAATTTTATTCTATTACTTTTTACAAAAATGCATGAAATGTTTAAACTTCTGATCATATAAACTATTAAATCATATATGGTGTGTATACCAGCCCCATTATAGACTCTTGTAATAGAATTTTACTATTGTATATATATAAGAAATTTAATAATATATTTACAAAAAATTTACAAGAAATATATTCTTTAATATATGTATATCTTTCTATATAATTTTAATCAATACACTTTGCAGAATTCCCTGGAACAAATATATACGGTGTCATGTTATGACTTTGATAATCAGAAAGAATTTCTGAATTGTCATTCGTGTTCTGAAAATAAATGAAATCATTAAACTTATTCTGATATAATAAACTTATGTATGATTGAAAACATAGAGAAAAAGTATTGCCTGCTTACATATTTTTTATGCGTAGCGAGACAGAAAGTGCAAACTTGTGGTCTAGTTTGCATATCATTCCAATCATCCATTGAGTATACTCGACTACTTTCTTCTAGTCGTAAACAAGGTTGATCCATAGCACCAACGACAAGAACTGCACCCAAATGGCTGATGTAACTACTCGCTAATCTGAGAGTTTCTATTTTGGATAATTTTCTATCTGCAGGCTCCGTTGGAATCAATGTTCTCAATGCGCTGAAAGCTGTATTCACGCTGCACAGTGAAGATTGCTTTTCTTGAATCGTGAACCTGTATTTATTGACAATGTTTTTCAATGATTTTATTGCAAGTAAATTGTGTTAGAAAATAATTTCTTTTCTCTCTCCATGAGCATTGAAAGATGTATTGTATAATTAGTCTTTGCTTTGAAATTGCTCCAAAAAATGCAAAGAGGAGAGGAAATCTTTCTAAAACACACACATACTAAACAAAATCATTGAAAAATACTGTATGCAAAAAGAAATCTTATCGATTGTTTTTATCGTTAATTTTACCAATCTATCATTAAATATAATAATTATATACTAAAAATAAATTTAAATAAATACATATATATAT